ACAGTTGCTTAAGCACAATAAAAACAGGAAAAGCTTTGCCGTCTTCCTTATCCTCCTTCGCCTCTACCAAGAATAAATGACAGAAACTTCTTTGAAGATTTTTGCTGGGCGTTGTAAACAACAGACAAAAACGAACGATCAGTTCAGACATCCAACATGGCGGCCCCTTCCTAATTTATTTTAATTTTGGGGGGGATTTTTTGGGGGGAAGGCTGAATATTGTATTTCGCTAATGACGTATTTTTCAACTCGGCGGCCGGAAGATGGGGGGACTTCAACTCCCAGAATCCCCCAGGCGTCATGGCTATGCTGGCTCAGGAATTCTGGGAGTTGAAGTCCACAAGTTGTCCCAGTTTGCTCACCTCTGTTTTAAACACACCTGCTTTTGATGTTCATCAGCCCAAACCCCTCAGAAATGTTAATTCAGAGTTGAGATTGGGGGATTTTGAAATATCGTCTCCTCGTTTCGTTGCCTTTATGTTTTGTAAGGCTAAACTCCAGATTTAACTGCCTTTAGCGAAACCTATCGGATTAAACTGAACTAACCAGCTTTAAATCCCATCGACTGCAATGGGCGACCTCCATCTTAACTCCGAAGTGGTTTTTTTTTGGTATAATTCACCGATTAATCCAGTTTTTCCAACTTGGGTGCCTCCAGACCAGAGATCTTCAAACTTGGCAGTTTTAAGACTTGTGGACTTCAACTCCCAGAATTCTCTAGCCAGCTATGCTGAGAATTCTGGGAGTTGAAGTCCACAAAGTCTTAAAGCTGCCAAGTTTGAAGACCTGAAGCAGCTGTCCAGCGGCTTTCCATTCCACCGAGTGGAAGGGCTGGGAGGAAATGGCCGGCACAGGCCAGGATTTCAACACATTTTGCCTATCCTGGTCTCAAAAGTCCTGGTCACCCCACTACTTTAAGGCACCCCAAAATTGGTGCAGAACGACATCCGGGGGTGGGTAGATTTCCAGATTACGTTCAAATTGGATCCTGCTGTTTTTAATGGCCTTTGCTGAAGAATCCTTAAGGCAGGGATCTCCAAACTTGGCAACTTTTAAGGCCTGTGGACTTCAACTCCCAGAATTCCTCAGCCAGCAAAGCTTTCAATTCTGGGAGTTGAAGTCCACAAGTCTTAAAAGTTGCCAAGTTTGGAGACCCCCTGCCTTGCGGGTTGCTTCATTTCCCCCCACCCCAATTTTTGCGGGGAAACCGGAAGTTGTTTTCGGTGGGGGAACCAAGGACCAAAACCGCAGTCAAATAATAAACATTTGGAGATGCGTTTTTAATAACAAGCATAATTTCGTTCCTAGATCGACGTTTCTCAACCTCGGCTAGTTGAAGATGTGTGGACTTCAACTCCCAGAATTCCCCAGTCGGTACGGCCGGCTGGGGAATTCTGGGAGCTGGTCTCGACACACCTGAGAACACAGAATGTCTATGGAGATTCTCAGTCATCCTGGTTTTTAGTTGTCCCAAAGTTGTTTTTTTTTCTTCAAGGGGGCAACTGGACTTTCTGGTTTTTCTCTGAAGACGTTTCCCTTCTCGTCCAAGAAGCTTCTTCAGCTTTGACTGGATGGTGAAAATCCTTCCATTCTTCACCATCCAGTCAGAGCTGAAGAAGCTTCTTGGATGAGAAGCGAAAGGTCTTCAAAGAAAAAAAAAACCAGAACGTCCAGTTGCCTCCTGAAAAGGAAAAAAAAAAACACTTTTGGGATAGAACACAGAAATAGGGTTCGAAGGGACCTCAGAGGTCTTCTAGTCCAACCCCCTGCTGGAGCAGAAGACCTTATACCAACGTGGAACAAATTTTGGATGTCTTCTTGAAAGTCTCCAGTGGTGGAGCATCCACAAGTTCGGAAGGCAAGCCGTTCCTCTGATTAATTGTTAATCTTCAAGTGGAGAAGGTTGAGAAAGATCCTAGGTTAACACCTTTGCTGGATTTGGCCTTGAATTAGAAGCTAAACCACAATGAAACAGGAGCAACATGGCTGCTTCATCAAACCTGCAGAACTCTTTGTCAAGGCGATTGTGCGAATCCAACACAACACACACATTGCTTCTTACTCTACCGGCTTCACACCTGCCGTCAAGAGCCCAACGGATAGCTCCAAATAGGTTTCTTGGAGGGACAGGAATAAATTTGAGGGGTGTGTGTGAACCTCCTCTTTTTACGTGTGGTCAGTCAAACGAGAAATCCATCTGTGGTCAGATGGTCAACTGGCAAAGATTTGATTCGCCTAAAAGGGCAGGGATCGGCAATCTTAAACACTAAAAAAGAACCATTTGGATCTGTTTCCCGCAGAAAAGAAAACACCGGGAGCCACAAAAACCCTTCCTGTGCCTGACTATTTCCTGAGGAGCCACAAAACTAGCATTTGTAGTTGAATTAAATATTCTGTTTTCTTCTGAAACTTTTCTTTTCTTGGATTTATCTGTGGTTGGCCTACCGGGGGTTGAAAAGCTCAATAAATCGCATGCCAGGCGGGTGTCACATATTGGCGGTTGTGACGTATATTTTGAGCGACAGGGAGCTGCAGCAGAGGGGTGAAAGAGCCACATGCGGCTCCAGAGCTGCGGGTTGCCGATCCCTGTAAAAGGGGAAGCTAGAAATATAGGATCGGTTGTCCCATTGGGTCCTTTGGCCCTCCAAGTCTAGAGAAAAAAGTGATGGTGGGTCCCCCAAAACGTTCGTTGGCAATGAGATTCAAGACTTTGGGAGATTTTTTTTTTCTTCTTGAGCCATTCGACATCCGTCGCGACATCCCGACGCCGCCTGGGTGTAATTTATGTCTGCAGAGTCTAAATAGGAATCGTGGGCTTGTATTTGGCATTTTCTCTCCTCCCCCACACATCTGAGTTTCCTATTAGTCCATTTTTTATGGCATTTTACGAAAGTATTGGCCTGCGACCGATTGGAAATTAAAAACAAAATAAGAAAACCCTTGGTCCTTCATCATGGATAGCTTGAGAAATCCTGGTCTACGATAGCAATTCCTTCCTTCCCTCTGGCCTGGACCGAACACTGTTCGGTCCTGAAGGATGGGAACTTTTGATCGTCCACCGGAGTGGAAAACTTTTTCTTGAATCCTAGTGAGTTTTTTTTGGGGGGGGACAAGGGCCTCTTGGTCCGCACCCCGCAATAAGGGCCAGATCCACCATCTCCTGCCAGGACAGAGATGGGCCATGAACCAGCAATCCTTCCCAACACTAAACTACAAAACAATCAGGAGATTTTTCCCTCGCTTGTCTGAATGCAGAACTGCCTTGGCACCCAGGATGCATGGGGAGCCCCTGACTGGCTTCTCCATAGTTTTTGCGGTGGCAGGAAAGGGGGGGTTCAATGAAAACACCCCCTTTATTTTTGAGCTGACACGGGCCATGCCTTATGGGCAAGGCAGAACTGGCCCTAACGGGAATACCTGGTTCTCCGGGCAGGCAAAGTGTGGAGGAAGAGGAAAGCTGACGTCTTCTGGGAGGCAGGAAGGAAGGCGCCAGGGAGAAATCAAGCAGGAGGCCGAAGAGAGAAACTGAGGCCAGGTCTGTGTCTCAAACCCTCTTTCTCAAATTGGGGGTCTGCTCTGAATCCCCCTTTGCTGCCTGGAAGAGCTCCAGACCCAAATCTCTTGCCCAGCGGTGAAATCCACTTACCTTCACTACCAGTTCGGGAACGGGAGCATGCGCCGAGGGTCAAAAACGGGACGTATCGACATCCCGCCACGGGTGCTACCGGTTCGCGCGAGCCAGATAGATCCCGCTGGATTTCACCGCTGCTGCCGCCCTGAGACCACTTTCACTCTCAAAAAGACCCCTGGGGCCTCCTCCCAAACTTCTCCCCCTTCCCACAACCTGAGCCTCGTTTTCCCACTGTTTGCCCATTGACAATCCGTTGTGTGAACTGCAGGAAACAGAGCAAATTGTTGGAGATGTGGAGATGGCCCAGTCTAACCTCTCGAGAGGCCAACAAGTGTTGGGGAGTGGTGGGGTTCGACCCCCTTCCCCCTCCCTTTCAAAAATCCAGGTTGACTCCTTCCATCTTCCCCTCTTTATTTGTGGTCCTCACCCACTCCCTTCCCTCTGCTCCCTCGTTCCCCCTCCTTGTTTTAACTCTTGATAGCTTACGCATACTGTATTTTCTCATAGACCTTTATAAAGCTATTATATCACTCTATATCGATGTTTCTCAACTGCAGCCATTTTAAGAGGGGGTGGACTTCAACTCCCAGAATCCCCCAGCTGGCTAGGGAATTCTGGGAGTTGAAGTCCAACCCCCTCTTAAAATGGCTACGATTCAGAAACACCTCTCTTTCTCTCTCTGTACATATATAACGTTGTATTTATAGATAGATCTCTGATCTATGGCTTTCTCTCTTCGCGTTGGCTCCCTGTTGAGGTTACTCTACAATTTTGGCAGAACCAGGAAGTTGGCTCCAGTCGAGGGACCCTACTACCCCAAATCATACCTCTGCCCCCTTTTTGGGGAACATCCGTGGCATCACCGTTGTACAACTGCTTTGCTCCAAGTCGGGTCTCCGGGCACTCTTGCGTCTTCCTTCGGCCTCTGGCCTGCCCGCACCCGCCGAACCCCCCTCCCCCCCGGTTTTCACAAAAGCAAAACAAAGTTTAAAAACAAAAACAAAAAAAATAACAACTCATGATCTGACATGCTCGTTTCTTTTTAACACCATTTTGGAAAAAAAGGAACACAATATAGCACCTTGGTTTTTGAAGGGAGACCTAGAAAGGACGACGGTGGGAGGCATGGCGGATGGCGGGAGGGTGGCCGAACCCCTTCCCGAATGCAAAACTCCGGCCAATGTCGGTCCCGCTTGGCTGCCGGGGGGGGGACGGGGGTACATCACGCCACCCACAACTTGGTTCACAATGGCATTGAGTTATGGGCGTCAAACTTCTTAGGACCCCCACCCCTCTTTTAAAAAAAAAAAAACAGCGTGATTTGGAACTCCCCTGTTTTGGGAACAAGTTGGGGCCCATCTGGCTGGCATTCGGGAATCGGGAGGGTCCCCCCCCTGCAGAGAGATTGGGCTGCCAACACCCCACAGTGCCCTGCTTCCTCTTGGCATTTCTCTCCTGCCTTCCCAGGAAATCAAAGCTTAAAGGACGAGAGGAGGGGTGGTGGGAGGATGGCTAGGCCAGGCCACGATTTGAAGAGGGAGGACGGAGGGTTTGCGGTCTCCCTCGCCTTCCTCCCTTGGCCAGTCCAGGGGTCAGGCCTGGCTCCGGCTGAGGATTCCTTTCAGAGCAGCTGGGAGGGTGGCTGGGGTGCGGTCAGAGGGAGGGAGACCCATTTTTTTCCCCACCTCCATCAAAGGGCCAAACCCTGCTGAGGGGTGGGGTGGGGTGCACCACAATCTGCCTGCCTTGGGGCTGGCCATGCATCACTCCGGCTGCAGTCCCACTTGGGGAAGGGGCTGTGATTCTGTGTCCCCCCCCCCAAACCCTTTTTTAATCCTCTTCCTTGTGCGGTCCAGGCACCATCCGTCCCTCTTTCGGGCGAGAGGCAGACCCGCCGTGGCCCTAATTCAAACCCTTGCCTTTAAGTCTGCCTAGGACGGGGTGGGGAGAATAAAAAACGACAATCCTCCGGGTCGGAAGGGTCAGGGGGGGAAGGAGGGAAGAGGGGGGGGCCCTGCCAGCTTCCCACCTCCCCTTTGTTTCCCTCTCTCTCTCTTTTTGTTGGTCTTTTTTTGCGAGGGGAGGGCGTAAAAGGAGAACGAGATGAGCGAACCAAAGAGGGTGGGCGACGGGGGGGGGGACGGGCCCCCGTTCGGAGTGGCGAGGCATTTGGGGAGGTCTCCTCTCCAGAAAGTTTTTTTTGGGGGGGGGGCGTGGGGGGGGAAATGCATGTCTGAATAGTCTCACTGCGCGCTTCCTTCGGATGTGGGTCTCTCTCTCTCTGGCGCACGCAGGGATTTGGGGTGGGGTTGAGGACAGGGGGGGCCTCAGACATAATATTCCTTGTCTTTGTTTTTCTTGCTTTTACTGGCCGTTTTGGGGGCCGCGGCCGTCTTCTCCTTGACCACCGTGCCATTGCTCTGCGCCGAGTTACTGATGTAGTTACGGCTCTGGTCCACCTGGTAGGAGCCTTCGTCCCGGTTGCGGTACTTGTACATGGCATAGAGAAGGATGAGGATGCAGAGGGCGGCGGCTGCCACGATGCCCACCACCATGCCAGTGGTGCTGCTGGACTCCCGGATGACCTCCACGGCGCCGGGGGGACCCCTCTCCCCGGGGTCGGTGGGGTTAGCTGTGGGCAGATTGTGGAAATCGGGGGAAGAGGTTATAACGGGGTACTTGGGACGGTTGAGCTTGTCCGGCTCGAAGGAGGTGGCCAAAGGGGGGATGTGTTCGGGGTGGGGCCGCAGGGGCTCGCGGTTGTTCATTTTGCCTGCGGGGATACGGTGGAGCAGGGTGGGAGAAGTGGTGGAGGCCAGGAGGTCTGGGCCGGAGGGCGAAGCCGGCAATCCTGTCCTAAGGTTGGGGCGGTATCCGTGGGGTTTTTTGGCGGCTCCTCCATCGGGGCGGCCCATCGGGGTCCTATCAGTGACCAGGGGGAAAGTGGTGTAAAAATCTTCGTCGTCGGTGGGGGGCAAGCTGGAGTCGAAGACCTCGCCGGAGGCGTACCCCGAGGCTTCGATGCCCTCTTCGCAATCGCTGTCGTCTTGGTCGGTCAGGCAGGGGGGCTTCGGCTGAGCCGGGAGGGAGATGGTATCTTTGGTGGTTTCGATTACGGTTAGGAAGGGGCCGAAGGTGGGAGGCAGGGGGATAAAAGGTGAGCGCGTGGCAATTGGAGGGGTGTCTAGAGAGTCTTCGGTTATTATGGGTAAGACTAATTCACCTCCTAGAACAGAGAGAAAAGGGGGAAGAGAAGAGAGGGGGAAAAGGGTCAGCCACGCGGCCACGGGGTCCCCCCCACGTGCACACAAGACAGCGCCAAACCACAAGAATAGCTGCTAGCCAATCCCCACTGACTCTGGTCCCTGGCCACTTCCCTTTTTTTTTTCTTTTTTCATTTTTGTCTAGAGAAATCATAATCAAAGGGAAAAGAAAGAAGAAAAGAAAAAGATAATTAAAAAAAAGTCATTTAATCCGTAAAAAGAAAAAAAAAAGAAAAAAAAATTAAACAGAGAAAACAGCAGAATTAAGACCAGTAACACCCTCTTTGGCTGATTGCTTTTCCCATCCTCTTCGGCTAAAACACTAAAATATTCTTTCTCTCAATCTCTCTCTCTCTCTCTCTCTCTCTCTTTTTTTTCCTTATTTTTTTTTCCCTGTTTGTTTTTTGTTTTTTGTTTTTTTTAAAAAAAATAAGAGAGCAAACCACGGAATTCAGTCAACTTACATCAACAAATAGGCCGTGTGATATTAGCATGAAGAAAAAAAATTACAAAAAAGAAAACTAGGTAAGAATGTTTTTTTGGAGAAAAATCAACTTTTTTTTTTCTTTTCGTTTCTTTTAAACATCTCTCTCTCTGCATCTTGCCTTTATTTTTTATTTTATTTTTTTAAATTTCGCTTTCTTCCCAAGATTCATTTCTTTTGCTTGTTTTTTTTTTTTCCTCATAACGGTACCCCTTTGCCGCTTCCCTCCTCCCGTAGCCGCCCCCCCCAAAAGGACCCCCCCAGGATTTCTTGCACCCCAAATTCCTATCACCCACTTCGATGTTCCGAAAACTTAAAATCATCGGGGACTTTCAAATCCATATTTTTTTTTTTTTAGCTCTTTGCAAATTTGAGGATTTGAAGATATAAACTTGAGGCAAAATTAGGACTTTGCAGAGAATTGGTCGGAGCTGGGATGGCACAGCCCTGCTTTCTCTGGTTTTTTTTCCTTCCTCCCCCCCCCCCAAATTGATCCTGGATTTGACTTTCCTGGCCTTGTGCAAAATGGGGGCGAAAGTGGGTGATTGGGGGATGGGGTGTTTTGATTTTTTTTCCCCTCTCCCAAGGAGGGGTGATAATAGCTTTCCCTGCGTTCCCACGGGATCCCCGGATAGGAAACAGGTGACCGAGGTCCTTAGCAAAGAACTACCTCCTCAATACAATGGGGAAAAAAACAACAACCAAAAAAGACCCAAAAAGAAGTTGGAGAGGGAATCTGGGCTGAAGAGGCAGAAAAGTGGATTTGAAGTGTGTATGTGTGTGTGTATATAAGAGAGGGGGAGGGAGAGAGAGGGAGAGGGGGAGAGAGGGAGGGATGGAGAGAAAGAAGAGGGGAGGAGAGAGAGAGAGGGGAAGGAGAGAGGGGGAGAGAGGGAGGGAGAGAAATAGAGGGAGAGGGAGAGAGAGGGATGGAGAGAAAGAAGAGGGGAGGAGGGAGAGAGAGGGAGGGAGGGGGAGAGAAATAGAGAGGGAAGGAGAGAGGGAGAGAGAGGGGGAAGGAGAGAGAGGGAGGAGAGAAAGGGAGAGGGGGAGGAGAGAGGGCAAGGGAGAGAGAGGGAGAGAGGGGAGAGAGGGAGGGTTGGAGAGAAAGAAGAGGGGAGGAGAGAGAGGGAGAGGCGGAGAGAGAGGGAGGGAGAGAGAGGGAGAGAAATAGTAGGGGAAGGAGAGGGAGGGAGGAGAGAAAGGGAGAGAGAGAGGAGGATAGGGAGAGGAGAGAGAGGGAGAGAGAGAAAGAGAGGGAGGGAGGAAGAGGGAGAGAAAGAGAGGGGGAAGGAGAGAGAGAGAGAGAAAAGACCCTATTTTTTAATGGGAAAACAAGGAAAAATCCTTCTTGGAAAGTTGGAATTTTTTTCTCAAGCTGCAGGCCATGCTTGGAAAGAAAACATTGGGATTTGAGGTCATTTTGTTGATCGTTTTCAGTGTATTTCAAAATCCCTTGGAGTGTGTGTGTGGAGGGGGGGGGAGCCAATAAATAAGAGCACAATTAGAAGAGATTTATCTGGCTATTATGAAAAAAAAGATGTTGAGAACTTGAGACTCTAGAAAGAGTGCAGAGAAGAGCAACAAAGTTGATTAGGGGACTGGAGGTTTAAATATATAAAGAACGATTCCAGGAACTGGGTATGTCTCGTTTAATGAAGAGAAGGACTAGGGGTGACATGAGAGCAGTCTGCCAATATCTCAGGGGCTGCCCCAAAGAAGAGGGAGTCAAGCTATTCTCCAAAGCACCTGAGGGCAGGACAAGAAGCAACGGGTGGAAACTCATCAAGGAGAGAAGCAACTTAGAATTAAGGAGAAATTTCCTGACAGTTGGAACAATTCATCAGTGGAACAGCTTGCCACCAGACGTTATGTGTGCTCCATCACTGGAGGTTTTTAAAAAAAAAAGACCGGAGAACCATTTGTCTGAAATGATCCTGTTTGAGCAGGGGTTGGACTAGACGACCTCCGAGGTCCCTACCAACCGTTTTACATTGTTAATCTATTTCGGTTAACCATTCTGGCCTCAGCAACTTTTAAGGTCGGACGACAAACCTGGCCATTGCAAAAGCATTTCCACCTCCCGGTAGAGAGCCTGGATTACGATTAGGCCTAATTTTTATTCCTTAGCTGAATTCGCACAGCTCTGTTGGCTTGGTTGATTATGTTAAACGGTTAAAAATGGCACGGCTAATCTAGGGAAAGAGGGAAGGAGACGCAAACATCCACAGGTTTATTTTGTGCTAGAATAAACGGTGTTTTTATCTCCATCACGGGTGGGTCACGCAGCCGTGGGTTTCCAATATCCTTACAACCGGTTCGCCGTGGGCGTGCATGTTTGTTTCACATGTGCTCCTTGCGCGCACGCACTTTGCTCGATCGCATGCCGTCCACACATGCCCCCGGCCTCAAAAACATGCGTCAATAGGACGGCATAGAGACAGGATGGGTGGGCCCATTCGCGATCTCTGCTACCAATTCGGCCGAACCGATACGAACCGGCTGAATCCCACCTCTGGTGTCACAGGTACACAAATGCTCAGAAGCCCTTTACATGTCGGCACTCCGAACATTTTCAGGCAGGAAAAGAAGAGGAAGATTTTCACGCAGCGCAATTCCTTAGCTGAGTTTAGCACGGCGCCCCCGTTCGCCTGGTGAATTAAATTGAAAGGTTAAATGGAATTAACCCATTTTTTCTTTTTCTCAGCTTGTGCAAGAGGCCTAAAAAGCGGAAGCTAATCGAATAAGTTGGATTGATAAAATTTCAGGAACGTTGCCCCAAAAGGGTGACTTTTGAAAGAGGCAACTGGACCTCTTTCTGGGGTTTTTTTCTTTGAAGAGGTTTCGCTTCTCATCCGAGAAGCTTCTTCGGCTCTAGGTAACATCATCAGTGCTAGTAGGGAGTGCAATTTGCTGTCAGTTTATAGCAGGGGTGTCAAACTCGATTTCATTGAGGGCCGCATCAGGGTTCTGTTTGACCTCGGTGAGGCAGAGTGGGTGTGGCCAGGGTGGGCGTGGCCAGCTCAACATCACTCGTGTCGGGGACACCTGTGGGGGCCCGACTGTTCTGCCAGAGAAAACGGGCTCCCGAGCTCAGTTTTTGGCTTACGACGGCCTCCTGCAACCCTCTGGCAGCAAAAATGGAGCCTCGGAGGGCCGTGGGCGGCTCTCTCGAGCTCCGTTTTCACTGGCAGAGGCAACGCGGGGTGGTCCTTCGCTGTTTCCAGGTTGGCCCTGCAGGCTGGATCTAAACACTCCGTGGGCTGGATTCGGATCCCGGGCCTTGAGTTTGACACCCGTATTTTAGTGCCAGTGTGACAAGTGACAGCAAATTGCACTCCTTACTTGCACTGATGACGTTACCTAGTTTGGGTCACAAACCGTCTGCAAGAGAGCAAGCGAGCTCCGAGAGCACCAAGGGCCCCTCATTCTACGACCGTGATGGCACACAGAGCCATATCTGTGGGCACGCCAGCATTTCTCTAACTCAGCTCCAGAGCACATGTGTGTGCTGGCCAGCTAATTTTCTGGCCTTGTGGGCCCACTGGAAGTCGGGAAACGGGTCGTTTCCAGCCTCCGGGGGGCTGGGGAAAGCTGTTTTCGCCCTCCCCAGGCTCCCAAAAAGCCTCGGGAGCCTGGGGAGGGTGAAAAACAGGCCTACTGGGCCCACTGTGCCATCTCGTGCCAAAAGTGGGGGGAGCGCAGGGGGATCGCAGGTGCGGGGGGTGGGGCGCATTGAATTATGGGTGTGGCCACTGTTCTAGGATCTCTCCAGGGGAGAAATGCAGGGGGTACCAGCCCCTCCCTATAGGTTAGAGCAGGGGTCCCCAACCCCTGGTCCTTGGACCGGTACCGAGCCGTGGCATACCAGAAACTGGGCCGCGCAAAGAAGCGAAGCGGTTTCATATGCAGGCATGCACATGAAACCACGTCCCCCACTGGTCCACGGAGTAACCTGTCTCCACGGAACCAGTCCTTGGTGCCCAAATGGTTGAAGGTGGCTGGGTTAGAGAACAACTGCCATCATCCAAGCCAGGGCTGGTATTCACTTACTTTCTCTACCGGTTCGCAAATGTGCTTTGCTCGCACGCACCCTGTCCACGTATGTGCTTTGCTGGCGTGTGCGTGGCTGAATCCCACCTCTGATCCAGGCATGTTCTACCTATCTACCTGCCTGTAACCTGCAGCTGGGCGGTGCAGGGCGAAGAGTCCCCAGCCGGGCAACACACACGGCCAGCTATTGCCAGCTGTTAGGCAGCGAGTTCATTAAGGAAGCCTCCAGCTGCAGGGACAGGCTGGGCTGGGCCGCGACGGCAGGCAGGGAAGGGCTGTGCCAGAGCCGGTGGCCGCGCGCAAGGGCATCAGCAGAGCGAGCGAAGCGGTGTGGCTCGCTCGTCTCGCCCCGCTATGATTAACGGCACTGCTTTCCACCCCAATTAAATGTCATACGTTTGCAGATTTCCTGCCATCTCAATCTCC